GCATATTCTGCACCTGAGTCATATCGAATGGAAAAGGAATCTGATATGTGGACATCCATTCGATATAATAATGAAGATCTGCATATTTTGCATCTGAGTCACATCGAATGGAAGGGGAATCTGAATTGTTCCACCGATGACCATCGTTTGTCGCACATGACTTGGCCTAGAAGGTAGGACATCATCATTAGGGACACGAAACCCCAACGTCCCAGAACATTTTCCTGATTGCACATATGCCAAAAGTAACTACATGAAAAATGAAGAAATTAGTTATACATTTAATAATAAATACTAATTTATTGTGTAAAACTAATAACGATAGTTATATTACTACATGTAAGCGATGATACACGCAAGACTAAGTTCTTGATGACCATCGTTTGTCGCGCATGAATCACTTGTGGAATCTGAATTGTTCGACAGCAGTTAAGTTACTTCCCCGTCGCCAGTGGGTCCTTGTGTATTTTTTAACTTTTTTTGTTTCCCAGCTTTTTTCTTCATCGGCTCTAGGGGATTCACCACGGGTTCTTTTTCAGTCAGAGTTTTGCTAATTTTACTCAACGACCTTAGTTCAACCAAATTCTTGCGTCATGCAGAATTTGCGTCATGCAACCAAACCTCCAGAAGTGTCACCCACAGTCATGCTATCAAATATAGGGATATGCAGAGGTGTGTCTCTCACAAAAGTTCATCCTCAAACCAATCACGGCCCCCCATGTTTTAAAGAATTATGGTTGCCCTTCGTTTCCTAACATCATCTGTTTCTCTTCGTCGTACTCTCCAAGCCCCCCGGTATTAAGTGCTTCAATATATATAGATTTAGTTTCATTCTTAATCCTAAACTAAATAACTTAAAACTAACCTAATCAACATTGAATTAACCTAACCGACATACAAAAAATGTTCTAAATAAATTTAATTTAGATTTAGTTTCATTCTTAATCCTAATCTAAATAATTTAAAACTTCTTAAATCATATACAATAAATATTCACATTGACATTTACATATTCAAATAATATTAAAAACGTAATTAATTTGAACTAATCCTGACAATCATATAATATTTAAAAAATCATCGTCTAATAGTCTAACGTAATTCAAAATAACCATCGTCTAATTTGTAGCGGGAATTATTATAGTGGGCACAATTATAAATTTCAAATCCAAAAAAATATTATCACTTAAACTGACCAAAAACAAAACTGACCAAACAAAAACTATTGATTGTAGGTTGCAGCTGGAGGTTGTTTGGTGATGGCAGATGCTGCTGGTGGTGGTTTGGCGAAGGCGGAGGCAACAGCCGGCGAAGCTTCTCAATTTGGAGAACATCAGGGTAGCTTGGAACGTATGACGAAGAGAAACGGAGTGAGAGACGAAGCGAGAGATGGAGAGAGAGACGAAGAGAGAGAATGTCGGTGCTAGCGTCAAGAGAGAGATGTCTTGGCGGTGGGTGGCGGTGACGTGTTCACCGGAAGAGAGAGGGAGATCGGCTTAGGGTTTTGAGTTAGGTTTCTCTTGAAATGAACACAAATTCGAGCTTAAACTTTATTTTTAAGTTTTCGTGCTCACATTAGACGACGGTTTTATATAAAACTGTCGTCTAATGTGTTATATTAAATGATGGTTTTATAAGAAACCATCGTCTAAGTTTTTACTAGATGGCCCGCGTTTTGGGCCAGCACATTAGATGACGGTTTCTTATAAAACCGTTGTCTAGATAAATTTTAATTTTTTTGTAGTGGTTTATTTTGATAGTTCATTAAGAAACACATCAATTCATGATTCAATTACGATCTAAGATGGGTATAAGAGATTCATATTACGCGAGGCATCTAAAATTATATTGAACTCTTTTAATTGACCTCATTTTCGATTGTCCATTAATCCCATCTACTAAGTACATTAATAAATTCTCTATAAAAAAAATGGTGTCTTGACTGATATTGTTAACCTTCCCTTACCAAAACTGTTAGGTGAATGCCTCAAATTAGTTTTTAAAAAGTTACTATTTTGTGTTTTTGGGTAAGTTCTTGTTTTCTTTTTTTTTTAGGCAAGAGTTATCCTATGCCTCATTCCAAGAGAAATACATAAATGTGAGGAGAGAGATAGGCAAGGGTGTAAGGGTTTTTAGGTACAGAGATAAGGAGAAAAAGTATGTTGAGTGTGTAATTCTAAAACTGTTAGTGAATTTTTCTCCCTCTCCCGTGGACGTAGAAAATTTCTCCGAACCACACAAATCTTTGTCTTTTCTGTTCTTTTGTTATTTTTGTTTCAGTTTATTTTTATGTTGCATGGGTGTAAGGGTGTGTTGTTTTCCTAACAACTGGTATCAACGCAGAGGTAAAGATTCAAAAAAAAATCAAGATGATGTCTAGGATAAAGTTTAAGTAGATATAGTGGTTTAACAGAAAAAGTAATTTTAGAATATGACAGAGTACAGTGAAAGGTGTTCTGATCCAACAGGCATTACTGAAAGCACTACAAGGAAAGAAGCCAAAAAATATGAAAGATGAAGATTGGGAAGAATGGGAAGCGAGAACGGTAAGCACTATTCGTTAGAGTTTGGCTCCTGAACTGAAATATAGTGTTATGAATGAAACATTTGCTTCTGAGTTATGGAAAAAATTAGAAAAAGTTTATATGTCGAAATCCTTAACAAATAGTCTAGATGAGGAAATTGTTGTTGCATATCATATTAATAAGTTTAATAAGTGCATAACTCAACTATTAAGTGTAGAGGTCAAAATTGATGAGGAAGACAAATCGGTAATTTTGTTGGCCTCCCTACCTAAATCATATGAGACTTTGACGACTACACTTTTAGTTTGAAAATGATGTTGACTGTGGATGAGGTGTCAACTGCTCTATTGGAGACAGCAAACTTGAAAACGCCTAGTAGTAAGTCTCATACTGAACAAGTTTTAGTGGAGCAAGTCGTGAGAGAGATGTTATAATAAAAGAACTAATCGTTCCTAATCCCGTTTAAAAAAAGATATTGAGTCCTACTATTGTTACAATAATGGACATATTAGGAGAAACTATGAAGAACTGACGAAGCACCTTGAATAAAAGAGAAAGTAAGTAACTCAAGAGACTTCAGTTTCTGCAAATGTTGTTAGGTATGATAGTGAATATGATGTTTATTCTGTTATTGCTTATGAGAATATTTATGAGTCTTTGATCTTAGATTCTGGATGTCCATTTCATTTGCAGCCATATAAAGAGTGGTTTAATTCTTGTAAGCCCTGTGATGCCAGTACTTTGTTGATGGCTAATGATTCTAATGTTAAAGCTGTTGAAATAAGTACTGTGAAGGTAAAGATATTTGATGGAGTTGTGAGGATATTAAAAAATGTTAGGCATGTTCCTCAACTAAGGAGAATTTTGATTTCTTTGGGGGCTCTAGACACTATAGATTATGAGTTGTATGTGAAGGGTATTTTTATACAAGTCAATAGAGGTGATTTGGTAGCCACGAAGGGTGAAAAATTAAAAAAAAACATGTATAAATTGATTGAAACTACAGTTGTAGGTGGATATATAAAGGTAGAGTCAAGCCACGAAGAATCTTCTTATGTTGTGAAAGAAGTTACATGAGTAAAATAGTGCAACAAGACTGTGACAGTTGAAGACAATAAAGGCAAAATGGTGAAGACTTGTGGGGGTGAAAATACTTTCAGGAATAAGAAGAAGACAATTTCTCGTGTCAAGTTTGACGAGAGTTTGAACTTGACACATGTTTATTCTTGTTGAAGTTTGCATTGTTGTCACCCCATCCATGATGGGCACGATGACAGGTGTTGAGATTGGATACCGAAATGTGTGAGTTAAGAGAATTTGAGTCAATGTGGAGATTGCTAGGTAAGTGCCTCAAATTGATTTGAGAAAATTACTATTACGTGCTTTTGGATAAATTATTGTTTCCTGTTTTCAGGCAAGGGTTATTTTATGTCTTGTTAGGAGTCTATAAATAAGTATTTTATTTAGGGCTTTGTGTGCTCATTGAAAAGTGCCTCCTTTTGAGAGAAAGATAAAAAAGTGAGGCGAGATATAGGCAAGGGTGTAAGCGGTTTTGGGTAGAGAGAAAGAGAGAAAATTTATTGAGTGTGTAATTCTTAAACTGTTGGTGAATTTTTTTCCCTCTCTGATCGACGTAAAAACTTTTTCCGAACCACTACATGCATGTCAATCTACGTGCATGCCAATAATTACATAAACACTGCATGTATACATCTATAGCTTATATAAAAGAGGGGATTTTTGTACTTCAACTTTGATTGAACCTAATCTAATGGTTAGCATTTGTTCTCTTTCCACGTAGTTCAAATCTAGTGGTAAAAGTTTAATCCACATGGATAATTTATTTTCTCACACATCAAACATTTATTTTTTTTCCTATCTGAGAATGAGCATAAATTGGTTTTTCCACTTCACCTTACTTGTTGGCTGCTTAGCTTTTATTTATTTATTTACTTTTTTAAGAAATCTTGTGTTTGATATGCCTTTTTACACTACAAGAAACCCCTCTTATGATAACACTAAAGCATAGTGTTTCTTAAAAAACGTTACCATAGGAGTTTATAATAGCTGTTTAATTTTGCAATCTAAAGTTTACATTATTACTTTATAATAATTTGATGATTTTAAAGCATTGGGTCACTTAATTTCAAACAATCCATATTAGAAATTAATTTTGGCCCGTTCATTTTACTGATTCGAGTTTAGAATTTGAGTTTTTTTACAGTAAAAAGCTCTCACAAACAATTACATCTAACTTTTTTACGACAGTAAAAAGCTCTCATATAAAATTACTTCTCAATTCGAATTAAAAATTCAAATCAACAAACTAAACGGGCCTTTGTTTTTTGTCTGCTTTCAAAAGAAAATCTTTTTTCCCAAAATTTTGCCAAAAGTAATGAGCGCGGAATGAAAATTTCATTTTCGTCCTTTCAAGGGAAAAAACATTGACACATCATGTAATTAAAACGTAAACATTCACGTTACGCGTGTTGAGAGAGAGAACGAGAGAAAGAACAGTAGAGAAAAAAAGGGGGTCGAGGCCGGCGGGCCGATGTGTTGCCGGTTCGCTTGCCGCCGTTCGTTGTCCGAGGGCCGTCGCCGGCCGATCTTCATGGGTGTTGGATGGGACCGGAAGTCGCGAGAGTTGCTGTGATGGAGGACCTTGTGGTTGTCGACTTGTGTCCGGATCTCAAGGGGGAAGAGCTACCATCAAGCGAGGCAGATGTGGGATGCTCAGAACTCCCCCGGGAACGAAATGGGTTGGCGAGGGGCGGGATTGTTTCCTTAGGTGTCAGAATCTTTGCAAGGATTTTGGTGAGTGTTGCTACTATTGCGTGATTTTCTTTGGCTTTTGATTTGTAATTTGTTTGCACATCGTGTCTTTGCACAAAATTTGGCGAGATTCTTCATTATGGTGGTGTATTTCAAACTTTTCTCATAAATTTCTTCCGTTATTGGGCATCGACATTGTTTAGGCATTGCTCCTTTCGTCATTTTACTGTGGTAGTCGTTCTTCCCTTGGGCATTCATAACTGGGTGAGTTATAATATGAAATTCCTACAAATTTTCCGTAATTTCTTTCAGCATTTGATCTGACATTTCTTCTTGTTATCTCCGCCTATTCTATTTCCACTGATGTTTGTCCTGAGATTAAAAAAATTAGCGTTTAGTTCTACTTTTTTATTTTTTATCTTTATGCATGTTTTGCTTATACCAAATTGATGTTATTATTGATGCTTGGGTAGTTGTTCATTTTCATTTAATCTTGATTTCTTTTAAGCGATTTATTTGACTTGCCCTGTAATTTTTTCCTTGATCTAACAAGGAGATTGAGGCCTCGCTGATTCGAGTTTAGAATTCGAGTTTTGTTGCAGTAAAAGACTCTCACAAACAGTCACATCTAACTTTTCTATTACAGTAAAAAGCTCTCACATAAAATCACATCTCAACTCGAATTCTAAACTCGAATCAGCGAAACGAACGAGGCCTGAAGTTTTCAAAATTAGTCTTTATTCAGTTTGTTAACTTTGTTAAACTACCATTTCAAGTAGTTGGGTTTCCTATTGTGTTGTTGGAGTCGTACAATATGATTGATAAGGAATGCTTGATTTTTTGTTTTTTGTTTTTGTTTCTGTAAGGTTCATATTCTAATAGAAACTCTTATTTTGTTGTAAGAGTTATACAGTATGACTCGTAAGTTATATTTGCTATTTTTTCTAACTCGTAAGTTATATTTGCTATTTTTTCTATTGCTTTTAGCTTCTGTAAGGTTCATAATCTAATAGAAACTCATCTTTTGTTGTTAGAGCTATATAATAAGACTGATAAGGAATTGAGTGTCTATTTGGACAAAGGCACATAAGAAGAAGAATGGTGAACCTATCAATTCAACTGCCGGTGAAGTCATTGTAAGAGTATATTTTTATCATAATAATTATTTATTCTTGTAAGCTACTATATAATTTTTTTTTTTGAAATATTTGCTGCATATTTTAATCAAGATTGGTTGTTTAATATTTAGGAAAATCTTGAAAAAAGTTAACAAGATCCAACATTGTCTGCCGATGAAATTGATATGCTAAATAGTATTCTAGCTTCTAACTTTGGTCTCGATCGGAATGGACATATGAGAGTAATGGGTCTTGGGATGACCAGGACAAAATATTCTATTTTATCAAAATGGGATGACCACTTGTCTCTTTTACAAGAGAAATATTTACGAATGGAGGAGGATGTAAGAGATCTGAAAGAGATGCTTTATCTATTATTGCAAAATCAAGTGAGTTTTTTATTCATATGTTTTGGTTTAAATACGTTATTGTAACTTTTCTAATCTTATTAGACAAGTTTTTGGTTGTATTAAAACCAGGCAATGAAGAATTATGGCTCTCCTCCTTTCTACTAAAGGTATTCTCTGTTCTTTCAAATCTATAATTATGATATGCAATCTAAACAGCTCCATAGACACATGGAGCCATTTAGCATTTTTGTTGCAAATAACTTAGTATAATATATATTGTTTGCGTACATTTGGAATTTTGAATATATTAGCATATGAAGCTTTTTTTCTGAAGAGAAAATCTCATTAAATAGTCTCAAATGATCACTAAGGGAAATTATTATAGATTTATGGGATCAGATGAACTTATATACCATTTTGGTTTCAGTTCTGAGCATTAAATACTAATATCTCTACTGTAACAGATTCCAATCAAGTGGCCTAAGAGCATAGATGAGGTATGGAAAGCAAATATTCCCCATACCAACCTTGCAACTGAGAAGTCTGACCAGAATTGGATGATACAATATACTTTTTGGAGAATAATATATGGTTAATGAACTTAATTCATTTATATATCAACTATCAAGTCTGTTGTCAGTATTTTACACCCAAATTGTCTTTTCATTTTTCTCATTGTCTTTTAAGGTTTTGTGCAGAAATGAGTTTGATGAAGTCAGTTAATAGAAAGCTGAAGGATGAGATTGCAAAGGTAAGAATGTGGTTATATAAGATGCTTCTAATGCTTCTTTTTGGAGAGTGTATGAATGAAAATACCCTTTCTTTTGTGGTTGGTATTGTTAATTTAGTGGAAATTGGGATGTGGAGTTTTGTCTTTCTTATTAGTCTATGTGATTCAATCACTAAAAATACTGTATTCCTTTCATAATTTTCCCTTACTTTCACTCTATTTTGATGTTTATATAACCTCCATTAATCTTTTCATTAGTTCTTATCGCCATTTTCTTGCGGATCCATCTTTAGTTTTTCCTCTTTTACTAATTGTTGCAGTTGAACGATCAATTGCGAGATCAGATTTCTGTATCAAGCAGCAGCTGTTTGAATGCTCGGATTAATGCTTGGTGTTTTGGGGACAAAGAGGCTCCCTTACCCAAGTAGATCTTTCGAGCTCGCGCATTGTTCCCGATGTAGGATAGAGATGAGTGCGCTTGTGGAGCGCATGTGTTGGAAAATAGCTGCTAAAAGGAACCAGGAGTCATATCTTTTGTGTAGAGTAAAAGAGTCCTAGCAGTATGCATTTTATCCCTTTTTTCTTTGAAGCGTAGCTTTCCATCATTTTGGTGTTCGTAGCCATGCATAACATGATTTTCATTTGAAATTGGATAAATTCTAATCAAACAATTTTCAAAATTTTTAGAAATCCATAGAGCAAAAGCAAGTGATTTGGCTCCTTGGCCAGCTCGACTTACCAGTCTAGCTTCGCGCCTAATTGATTTTGGATTTTCCACTGATATGTTTGACAAGGATACAGTAATCCTTCATTTATACTTAGCCTTAGTTCGGTACTGCTGTAGATTTTAGAAAAATTGCTTTTAGATGTGCTGAATTATAAGATTATATTAATATTTAATTATATTAATTATTATATTATTATTAATATAATAAATATAATTATATCAATATAGTATATAATATATTATAAAGTAATAATTACAATATCATATTATAATTATAATATCATATTATATGATAAAATAATAATATTAGAGTTATTAATATAATTATGATATTTTTTATTACAATATTATATTATATTATATTATATTATATTATATTATATTACGAGTCTGAATTTTAAATTAGGAAGATTGTAAATTTTAAATTTCATTAAGGGTATTATGGGTATTATGAAAGTTTTATTAATTGTATTATGCTGATTCTCGTACAATCTAAAAGCTAAAGTTGTTTTTAGGCTGTTTCTGATTTTGGTTGTAAATTCTTGAAAAAATCTTCAAAAAGCGTTTTTGATGAGATTTATTAAACACTAAAATCAGCTTCTGCTACAAGCAGAAGCTGATCTTGGGATGAAAAAGCAATACTAAACTAAGCCTTAATCACTCTGCACGTGCAAAATTTCATTTATTGTCCAAATATTTGTGTTCATGACTAATGAGTAGAAGAATTTGGTTTGTGACCGTGTTGCTGGAAGTTTGGCAGCAAAGAGTTGACAATTACTGGAATTTGTTGAAACCAAAAATCGAGTCAAACACACTTAGGAACATAATGGACATGAAGGCTAACATAGGTTCCTTTGCTGCTGCTTTTAAAGGTAAAGATGTGTGGGTGATGAATGTGGTGCCAGTATTTGTACATTAGAAGCACAGGAATCCTTTTACTGGAAGCTCTGGATTCTTTGCCATCCATGCTCTCGACCGAAGTAATCAACTCGAGTCTGTCGTTGCAAGCAGCTGTTACTACCTCAAATCTCATGAAGATATAAGTGGAATGAACTTTCTAATTGCACTTGGAAAAGTAGTAAGTTTCTTACTTACAACCGTTGATCTCGAGCTTTTGCACACTTGGTTGACTTTTTATGTTTTAGTTGAGTTGATATGAAAACTGATCGAGTATTGTTGCTTGGTCTTGATTATGCGGGAAAAGAACTAGACGTTTTGGATATTTTGATATCTCTAGCTATTCCTCTGTATTCTTTACTTGTTTGGAATGTTAAGCTTTCGGACAAATGGTCTGACTTATGTTGTAGACATCTTATTGCCAACTTGATAGATACTGATCACAATTATTACATTGAATGTTTTATGTTTTACTTTGAATGTTCCTATTTGAATGTAAGATGTTGCTCGGAATCACCATCTATTTAAATGAATTCAGAAGGATATTAATATAAGAAAAATAGATAGAACGTTAGTTTGTACTTGTTTTAGGATTGGTAAAATATTCAATAATAATTTTAAAAAGCTATAGGAGTATGAACATAATAAGAGAGCAAAGCTATTGATATGTACCGTAATAAGGCTAAATAGTTGTAAAAGGTTGAAAATAACATGTCTAAAACGCTATGAGCCTCAGAAAGAATTTTATTCTTACGATTTTCATATTTTGGAACACAAATTCTTCCTCGGAATGTGAGAATTCCCTTATTCGAGACTTTAAATTCTCTCTCTTTTCCTTCTTCAGCTTCCTTCCAACACTTGTCAAGAGTAGGATCTTAACGTTGAGCTTTCGCTATCTTGTCAAAAATAGATGGTTGTATCTGCATAGTGGTTAGTTTTCCCGTGATTAGCTCCAATCCCAATGAACATATATCTATCTGTAAAGGTGTTAGAAATTTGTCAAACGACAGATGGCTTAATTCGGTAGTCTTACGACTTAAAGTATCAGCTACCCTATTGGCCTTTTCACAGTAGTAAAGGATTTCACAGTCATAATCCTTTACTAATTCTAACCATCTGCGTTGCCTCATATTAAGTTCTTTCAGAGTGAAGAAATAGTCGAGGCTTTTATGATCAGTAAAGATTTGACATTGCACACCATAAAGATAATGTCTCCTTATCTTCAAGGCAAAGGCCACTGCTACCAATTCAAGATTATGAGTAGGATAATTCTTCGTGATTCTTCAATTGTCGAGACGTGCACGCAATTGCCTTCCCATTTTGCATCAATACTGCTCCAAGTCCTAATTTGGAAGCATCGCTATATATGTCAAACTTTTCTCCATCAGTTGGGATGGTAAGGATTGGTGCAGAAGTTAGCATTCGTTTCATTTCTTGAAAACTTTCCTCACATTTTTTAGTCCATTCATAATTCTTTTCTTTTCACGTGAGGGCAGTAAGTGGTGCAGCTAGTCTTGCAAATCCCTCTACAAATCTCATGTAATATCCAGCCAAACCTAAGAAACTACGAATTTCACTCACATTTCTTGGTATGGGCTAGTTACTAACTGCTTCAATCTTCACTGGATCCACCGAAATACCGTCTTTTAAGACTACATGCCTTTAGAAATGGACTTTATTAAGCCAAAATTCACACTTAGAGAATTTGGCATATAGCTGGTGTCTCTTCAGCGTCATTGATAAAAACTATAACAAATTTATCCAAGTACTCCTTGAAAACACGATTCATCAAATCCATAAAAGTTGTTGGGGCATTAGTTAGTCTGAACGGCATTACAAGAAACTCGTAGTGCTCGTAGCACGTTCTGAGAGCCGTTTTTGATATATCTTGCTCCCTCATCTTTAATTAGTGGTAACCAGATCCCAAGTCAATCTTCGACAATATCGCCGCCCCCTTCAGTTGATCAAATAAGTCATCGATCCTGGGCAAAGGATATTTATTCTTTATCGTGACCTTATTGAGTTCACGATTGTCAATGCACATTCTCAATGAGCCATCTTTCTTTATTACAAACAAAACATGCGCTCCCCAAGGGGAATAACTTAGTCAGATAAATCATTTTTCTAATAACTCTTGCAACTGCATTTGTTACTCCCTGAGCTCTGCCAGAGCCAGTCTATAAGGAGTCTTAGAAATCGTTGTCGTTCCAGGTAATAGTTAGATTTCCAACGAAATCTCACATTCCGGTGGCACTCCTGGTAATTCTTCTAGAAAGACTTCTAGAAAGTCTTGGACTATCGGCACATCCTTTGGTTGCAACTTATCAGTTTTAATCGTATCCATGACATGAACTAGATATCCTTCTTAACCACTAGTAAGTAAACTCTTTGCTTCAATTGCATTGATCATTTGTTTGGGGGTGCGTTTAGAGCGATTGACGTACTCAAAAACTTCCTCTCCATCGGGTTGGAAAATCACTTTCTTATTGTGACAGTCGATAGTGGCTTGATATTTTACTGGGAAATCCATTCCTAGGATGACGTCGTAGTCGATTATTTTTAATACGACTAGATCTGTGTATAGGTCCCTATCAACAATGACTATTGGTACGTGTCTTAGTCTAAATTCAGATAATAGAACCTCTCTAGAGGGCAGGGTGATAGTTTAGGATATCTGACCAATTCTATTCTTAGCATAACTTAATTTCTCAGTGAATTCATATGATGCAAACGAATGCGATAAACTAGAGTCAAATAATATGTATGCTTTGACTTGTCACCACTCTTGATATGCAGATTCTGCATCATCTTTCGTATATGCTAACAATCTGGCATTGATCTGTGGCGGAGCTTCTATTCTGACTTGTTGACGTTGCAATTCCTCAACTCTCATCTGCATTGTATTTACTTGATTGGCAGGTTGCCTATTCAGATTCTGGTAATAGTTCTTGGCAAAGTGGCCGTCTTTGCCACAATAGTAGCATCTATTCGTTCCGTATCAGCATTCCACATGATGTTTCTTTTTGTAGTTAGGGCATTCAACTATATTCGTGTTACGATCCTGCCTCTGCTGCGGATTACAGAAGTTAAAGTTTTAGTTCCCAGCAAAACACCTCTTCCTTTTGTTCGGATTCTGGTTATTCTGTTAATTCTTTTGATTACCTGTTTGGGCTTGTTTTGCCTGAGCCTGTTCTTTTATCTTAGTTTCTCAAAATTCAATTCTCTCTTCTTTAGCTTGAGTGTGGTGATATTCTGCTCAGATTACTCTACTGACACAATCCGCCACTGTTGTGGGTGTTCTTTCTCCACTATCTACCACTATGGCAATGTCAGGGTGAAATATCACCAACATCCGTCGCACCTGTTCCGTTTTCGTCGGCACTAATTGAGGGCATAGCCTTGCCATACAGTCAAATTTACGACAGGCTTCAGTAACTGTCATATCACCTTGTTTCAGACTGTTAAATTCATTTTTGTTGGGCTCGTAGACCTACAGTATCGTAGTGCTTAGCATTGAATTCTTTCAAGAATTCATTCTAAGTCATTGTTTCCACATTTATTCTCAAACCACCGTCTCCCACCTGTAACAGGCATCTTTCTTCAATATATACAAGGTGTAAAGTAATCTTTCCTGCTCTGTTAAATTCATAAAATTCAGAATTATCTGGAGTGAAGATAGCCACTCCTCCGCTTCTAGTGGGTCGGTGGATCCTTCAAACTATGGTGGCTTCGTCCGATACAATTGTTCATATAAAGGTTCCCGATTAACAACAAGCCTATCTTGTGGTACCATTCTTGGTATTGCCGCAGGCTCTGGTTGCAGTGTAGGTGCCATTGGTGGTATTTGTTCTTGTTGAACAGGTGGGGTTCTTCTTTGCCCCTGTTCTTGATTTCTTTGTTCCAATTATTCTTGTAAATTTCTATTTTCTTGCTCTTGAGCCTCTAATATGGCTCATAGATTGGCTATCGTAGACGCTAAATCTAACTCTACCTATTGGACCAAAGGTTTCCTACATGGGCCAACCATGTTTCCGTGTATGTACTTAAGAGAAATGGGGGCAACATGGTTATAATCCCGGATATATGTATATATATATATCACCAAATAAATCTTAACAGTGTTTCATAACATAAAGTTGTTTTAAATTAAACAACTTTCATTGCTTGTGGTAATATCTTAACCACACTTTTCATTCACAAAATTTATTCTTTCAATAAACGCATTTTCATTATTTTTGAATTATTTGTATGCCTATATATATATATATATATATATATCCGCTCAAGACATATATATACCCCATCTATCATTCATTAGTTACATAACTCAAGTGTCATTACAACTTCTATTAATATTTACATTTGTCATACATTTTCATATCATTACATAATAATATCATAATCAAAGCATTATATCATACTATACATCTTCATAATTCTCATTTTCTTCCCCTTTAACCTCCGCGGAATCGTCATCTGGATCTTCTTCCTCACTCAAATTTACAATGTTTTAAGAATCCACGTTAGTTTATCTATGTTGTAGAGAAGATGGAAAAACTTCATCTCTAAGTTCGGTTCCGAATCTGCGTCAGTATTCCCTTTGCCTACGTTCAAACTCCATTCGATGCCTATTGACACACTGTTCTTGTTCTTCTCTTTCGTTAGCTAACGTTTCTTCTAATTGCGTTACTTCCTCTCTGAATTGGGTGAGACTATAAGTAGCTTCTCATCGAGAAAATACCATATTTCATAGTTCCTCTACTAACCCTCTCCAAAATACCATATTTTTGAGTTGCGGGAAGTACTACTTCTTTTTGATGGTCATATCTTTCTTTTAGATTCATCCAAAGGGCAAGTGGATCTCTTACTGTGAGATATTTACATTTGAATCATTCATTAAGATGTTTACGAAGGAAAATCGTTGCTTTTACATTTTCTTATGGTGATGTGGAGTTAGACTGATTGATTCTAGATGTATTTCTACATCTATGATCCATGACATGTAATTTTATCTCGTTATGTCGAGTACAACGAACTCAAGTTTGGTAAGACTCGACATGGTGATAACTGTAACAGAATATTGATATAATGAGAATCATAATATTATTATTACAATAGAGAATACAATAAAAATTAGATGTTAATCATAATAGCAATAAATAAAAGGAAAAATATTGCAAGTATGAGTACTGAAAGGAAAAATTGAAAATCTTGTGGAGATTGATCTCTAATAAAACAAGCAAAAATATAGAAAATGACTACTAAAATATCAAACATCATCATTATATTTGTCATATCATGAAGATTCCTTTAATAGAATGTCTATGTGATGGAGAAAATAAAAATATTAAGAAGAGTGAAGAGAAGATAAGAAGTGAAAGATAAAAATATTAAGTACGGTGAAGAGAAGATGAGAAGTGAATTGTATCGGTT